ATTGAGATTGTTTTACACTGCTGAATGAGCAAATAAGAATGAAAGCCAAGTTTATTCATGAATGTTAAGAATCATATTTAGAAAGTAGAGGAATGACTAAACTTTGCCTCCTTGACAAAGGAGTTGATCTAATAGCAAATAGGGTTTATTTCTAATGACTGTGACAACAGAGGTCAGATTAATGGACTGTGGGGTACTGTTAAGTGAGGAAACTGTTCCTTTGTGTTGTAATCACACAAAGAGGAAAAGTGTATTGTTTCAGAAAGCTGAGTGCTAAGACCACTTAATTTGATCAATATATATGGTCACTCTAGGGAAGAATAAGGGACAACTATTTCACTTTTTTCCTCACTAAATTAATGCCAAATAACCTATATTTAGATTATATATTTAATCTTGATCATGTTGCTTTCTTACTCCTTTCTTACTCTGAGTACACCAGTCATATTATGGTCTCTAGAGCATACACTTTGATTGCCTTGCTACCTGACTTAATTTATTCTTTTTCCACTTCAGATTCTTTGCACTAACTTTACTCTCTCATGAAATGCTCTTTTTTCTTTTCATTCCCTTGCACATTTCAACTCTACTGAATATTCTGACAGATGACACTAAAAGGGGAAATAATCCAATGAACAATTGCATGCAACTAAAAAAAAGATAAACAATAATTCACCCTCTCATTCAGGTTTGAGTTAAAATATCACTTTCTCACAAAACCATACCCAAACACCTAATCTAAAACTATAACACGCCTCCAATCTCCTTCCTCTCTTTTAATATCCCCTATCTTATTTCCCACATAGCATTCATAATCTAATATAAATTTTATTGATATTCTTTATTTTCAATCTTTCTCCACTAGAATATAAAGGGCAGGCTTTTTTGACTGCTTGCTCACTGGAACTAAAATAAATGTCTGGTAGGAATTATATAAATATTTTATCAATGTGTAACATGCACAATATCCAAAGTTATATAATAATTAATCCTATTTACTGAGAGCCTGTTGAGCACTAGAAATTGTGGCAAAGATTTAATACGTATTACTCATAATCCTCAAATTAGTCCTGCAAGATAGGCATACATTAAACTCAAAGCACATTTCTTTCTTTCTTTCTTTCTTTCTTTCTTTCTTTCTTTCTTTCTTTCTTTCTTTCTTTCTTTCTTTTATCAGTTTGCGAGTAATCTAATGCCACAATTAGGATCAGGAATGTGTTGTAATTCATTATATTAAAGAGTTCTCCTATAGAATATGGTTTTAAGTACTTCAACCATTACCAAAGGCATTGTAAAGGGGAAGCATAAGAACATTACAGATTTGATTGGTGAAGAGGTTTTGCATGCAAAGTGCAGATCCCAGGTTAATTAGTTCAAACAAAAAAGAATTTGTAAAAAGTTACTGAATAATTTACAGAATCTCTGACAGAATAAGACAGTCAAGTCTGGAGAGTGTTTAGCCAGAGACAATGCACAAATTAAACACAGGGCAAGAATAAAATGCTACCATGGGCATTTGCCACATCTTGAAATAACAGTGCCAATTCTTAATTCTCTGCTGTTTCGTTTTTCCTTCTTTTTTTCCCCCTTGGTACTGAGGCTTGCACCCAGGCGCACTTTACCACTGGACCACATCTTCAGGCCTTTTGAAAATGTTTTTATTTTCAAACAAGGTCTGGGACACTTAGACTGCCTGAGCCTCCCTTCACTGGGATGACAGTGATGATCATGGTAAACTGTTACTGTTGTTTAAAGCTCAGTCTCACTAGGAAAAGGAGATTGTTCAGCGTGTGCTTTATATTATTGGTTTTAGAATTCAAGTGTGATGGTTAAACCTGGTTGAAGACTTGACTAGATTGAGACACCAGGAAATTTGGTAGAGCATATTTCTGGGTGTGTCTATAAGGGTGTTTCCAGACTTCTGGCACGTGAGTCAGTAGATTCAGTGGGGAAGACCTATCTTGAGGGTGAGCAACACCATTCAATTGTCTGGGGCCCCAGATGAAACAAAACCTAGAATCCAGAAACTTGTATATACAAGTATGCTTTACTCTTTTTTGGTGGATGTGATTTTTTGCTGCTGCCATTGCCTTAGGATATCAGACTCCTGTCTAGACTTCGAATTAAGACTTGCAAAAACTACTCTCCACAGGATTTCCTGGAGAGGAACTGGGGTTCCATTATTTGACTTTCTTGTTCTGATGCTTCCAGCTTCTTGAACTGAGCAACTATTGTTTTCTCTACCTCTTCATCCTGCAGATGGCCATTGTGGGACTATTCAGCCTCTCATAATGTAAGTCAATTAATAAATCCCACGAATGAGGAGAATATATGTATGTATATGTATATATAAAAGGGTATATATAAATATATAGATATATAAGGATATATATGAGGATATCCATATCAATATCTATATATATAGATATATAGTATATCCACATCTATATCTATATATAGATGTGGATATACCATATTTGTTCAGTTGTCTCCAAGTCACACAGCTACTTTCTCATTACAAAAAAAAGGATGCAAAACCAAACCCTTGCAGTAAGATTCAATATAGAAAATTCATCAAACGATTGTCACAAGATGCTAGTCTCAAACATAATACTCATTAAATTTAGAAAATTGAAAAGTATAAATAAAATATAACTTATCAAATATTCTTTGCATAGAAACAAGCACAATATATTGAATAGATTCAAGTCTTTAATCTATGGTAGTTTTTATGTAATTGGAACAATTTGTACATATGCACTATTTAAAAAAATTAATTATTACCTTGCTATAGTCTTAAAATTATTTGGAAATGCTTTAAGATGGCTAATTTACTAAATTTTCTTCAACTACTAAGCACATTTTGCATAAACTTTTTTATTCTTCAGATTATTTCCCTAAAAAAATTAGAAGTAAAATTACTAGTTTATAAGACATAAAGTCTTTTAAATTTAGTCAACTTTTTAAAAAAAGTATTATCAATTTATAGTTATGCTATCAGTGGATAATACCCCATAGCAGTTTTTAGTTTTATAATTTAAGACTGCTCATTTGATGAGTGAAAAATCAGCATTCCATTGTTGACTATACTCAACAGTACTATGCACTCCTGGGTACTCTTACCCCAGCCATACTGCTGCGAATTCAAAATAGGCATAGAAATAATTGTTTGTACAAGGAGAAAGAAGGAAATGAAAAGAAAGATTAATCAGAGAGAATCATTAGTAACTTTCACTCAATGCGGCTTTTCCTGCATTCTCAGAATGAAGGAGTTCATATTTTTCAGATCGAAGGGTCCCTACCACACACATCGTTTTCATAGTCACTTGCCTTTTCCTTACCCAAAGGTAATGCAATTTTGCCTCATGTTCTATCAGGTTTCCTCCTAAGCATTCAAATAAAAGAAGGAAATAGGAAATAGCCAGCTGTATTAACTTGTGGTGATAAGAAGCCCCTTCTTCTGTAATACTTTGTTGGTACCTTCATGATAAAGTTCCATGTAAAAATTTTTTTTCCTTTTTGTCCTAAATTGTAATTTATGAGTTTACACATCTGCCTCTCCAATAATTTAAAGGCAGGGACTTAATCATATTTATTCTCTTGATCTCTAGGACTTTATAGAAGGATGAATACATAAAGCCTTTTCTAAAAGCTGTAAGTATAAAGCTCTAGCTTTGTGCACCTTAAATAAGTTAGTATAACCACTTATATATTGATCAAATACATGCTACTCTCATGTTAGACAATGTTAAGTTAGCCTAGATTACTGGAGGTGGGACAGGAAGAGGTCTCTCTTTATGTATATATCCCTACTAATTTGGTAGACAACTCTCATGAAACATCAAAGATATATTTCAAATATTTGGTAATTTTCCTGAGTGATACCTTTGAGATGTTTAATTGGGCTAATAAAATATTTGGAAGTATAAACATTTAACATTTCTATTAGTTATTATCATCTATGCCCAAAATGAGCTGAACTAAGTTTCTAGGATATCCATATATAAATTGCTAAAAAAAACTGCTTTTATGAATCTCTGTCATTTTATGTTGTCAAAAAAATCATAACTATACTACTGAAAGGTCTTTAAAGTAATTGGAGGCTAGTGATATTAAATTATCCCAAAGCACCCTCTAGTGGCAAAAAAAGCAATTCATATATAAGCTAAGCAAAATTGTATATTTTACTAGGCACTCTGAATACTACTTAAATTTTTCTAAATAAAAATAAAAATGAATGTGGTTATCACAAACTTTGTTTTAATAATTCTTCACTGCTATATGCAACAATATAGTCAATTGGAAAAAACCCAGCCTACTTTAGTACTAAAATTTTGCCCACCATATAAAATATCATATAAAATATTTGTATTTATATTCAATGCAAATAAATTTCCAAAAGGTCTTCTGATTGCGTCTATGCATTTCTCATACTATATTTTCACTCTCTAAGCTTCTACTCCTAAAGTGTTCGCTTCTAGTCAAAGAAAAACTGAGTACCAAGTAAATCAATCAATTCCAATCACATTTTCACAAGAAATAACTTTATAAAATATGGCCTGAATCCTTATTCACCACATAGATTTTTGCCATTGATGTTTAGTACTTAAATAGAAGTATCATATTTCCTACTAACTTTGATAACATTGTTTTCAATTTCTAAATTTTACAGGATATAAAAAAATTATTCTATCCTTTAAAAATTTTATATACAAAATATTTAAAATACTTGAAGCCATAAAAACCTTTAATTCTATAAAAAGTAATTTAAAAGAAACTGATGACATTTAAAGAAAAATGAAGAGGCACTTCTTCATTTAAACAAATTATTTTTTATTCCAAATATTTTATTTATATATCAGTGTGTTTCTATCTATCTATCCATCCATACATGCATCTATCTATCTATTGATCTATCTATTGATCTATCTATCTATGTTTGGCTAAAAGATAAGACATCAATAAATAACAACTAGCATTTTTATGCTTTGTGTCTTTATTGAATTGGTTCAAAATGAAGATATTTATAATAAAAAACAATGAACAAGAGACAACAGTAGTCACAGTAATCTTACTTTTTCAAGCTAATAACTTTCAGAATAATATAGAAGCAATTTTTACATTTTAAATTTAAGTTTACAATCATTTATCATTCTACCACATTGGCAAACACTTGTGCAAATAAATAAAAATAAATGATGCATAGGAAGATTGCTTAAAAACTATTGTACAACAAATTAATGTGAGAGTAAAATATGCAAGTAATATAAAATGCACTTAAATACATTTTCACAACATTTCTTAAGTTATATAAGTTTATTTTACCTACTTACTGTTTATAATAATTTTAGTACTGCAAAATTCAGTGAGAAATATGTGCCAATTTATTTAAACTCATTTATTTACTCCTCTGTGAGCAGAAAAAAAAAAAGATTAGGTTGTCTCAAAAATATACTTGAAAGAAAATAGTGTTCATTCCTAGATAAATAAGAATTGAAAGTTCTTCATATGATTTATAACAATTAGGACAGAAGTCATTGAAATGGAAAACTAATATGTACATTAGTATTCTAAATTGATTATAACTTACTTGAGCAAGATGTTTTTAAATCAATATGGCTGAATAAAATAACTGAAATAAAATATCAGGAAAAGAAACTATAATATATGTAAAATGACAATTCTTGTTACCACTAAGGTCATACCCCTGCCCCAACTAAAACAAAACAAAAACTAGATAAATTTCAGAGAAATAAAATTTTAAAATATTTCTACATTGATCTTTATAGTTGATATGAATAATAAAAGCTAGAAAATACATAAAATATAAAAGATTTGCTTGTACCATTACAATAAAAGAAAGTTCACTTGAGTTTTAACTGGAATTACTATAGAATTACTAAATATAATTGCACAAGCCATCAAAGAAAGCTATTGCTAAATATTGTGTAACAGTGAGAGTGACAGTGATCAAAAGTTCTATGCTAGTCAAGTTAAAGAGAAAATACAGATTTTGTGTATGTTTAATTACATAATAAATCAACTATGCATCAAAACAATACATTTTCAGTGGTTTTTTTCATTGTGATATGAATGGTATCTCAACATTGAACAGTAAAGAAGAAAATATGAGTAGAAAAAATTGGAGATACTCAACCTACTCATAACTACCTCTAAGTGTACTATAAGAAACTGAAATCCAAATACTTTTTACCTGCATGCTCAACACTAATGAATAATTACACAATTATTATTTATTAGATAAGGTAGTTTACTTTAAAATCCATTACTTTCTTAAAAATTCAGAAACACAGAAATAAAATGGGTTTCATTTTAGAAAGAATTTTGGGTATCTTACATTAAAGAGTTACACTTTCAAATACTGCAAAAATACAGCAGTAAATTAAAACTATTCTTCAGACAAATTATGAAAGATAAAATAAGTGAAATTTGGAACACTATTGGAAGTAGAAAGAATATATGTTGAACTAATTCAGAAGTACAAAAATAACATTCAGTTATAAATAGAATAAAATGCATTTGTATTTTTAGTTTTGTGTTTCTGAAAAGGAAATTGCATAATTACATTTTCACAGAATGTGTAATCATATTTAAATTATATAATTAATTAATAAGTCACAAGTTAAGAGTAAAAATAGATCTTAGGTTTTTTCTTTCTCTTATTTTTTAGGAATATTAGTTGTTGGAGAATTCAATACCAAAATGACCCCACATCAACTAATAATAATGAAAAGTTTCTTCAATTACAAAATTCCAAGTGTCCATCCTACTATGATATTATCTGCAGATAGCACCAATAATGTTTATTCTGAGTTTTTGCTTGAAGTTGTGATTATTCTAAAGTTTGAAGGGTCAACCAAAAGAGAAGGAGCATTTGTGAGGTACACTGAATGTGCATTAACAACAACCGAAGGGTGACACCTAAGTTAATGATTCCATTGAAGTAATTTTCTGAGAGGTTAATGAGTATTTCCTTGAATGGCACAGCTTGGGGTATCATGTATTTATTATATACAGTATATATACAAATATATACAAACACACATTATACAGCAAAAGAATTATGCTCCAAAACTTACTGGAAAAGGTATTTTGAATAGTTTTTGCACAAAATAACTAGAGGATATACTCTAGCTGTTCAAGCAGCAATGATCATAAAACTGTCAACCTGGCTCTCAAATTTCTTTTGGGATTCTGTTCATAAAATCATTCTTCGAATGCCACATTCACAGCAGAACTTTGCCCATTCTACAGGATATTTTGTCCCACACTCATGACAGAATTTTGGTAAGTGTCCAGATGAATTTCCTTCAATGCCTTTAATGTTTCCACCATTAAATGAAGATGCATAGTCTATATCTGGCCTGAAGCAGTAGAGAAAGAAAAAATAAATAAAAATAAAAAATAAATAAAAATAAATAAATAAAAATAAAGGTTTACATCATTCAATAGTTATAACTTAGAACCTTTGAAAAATAGATCTAACTAAAAGTTTGCTTAATTTCGTTTTTAATATTCTTATAAAGTGAAAAAAGGATCTCTGCTGGTATATGTTTTAATTCCAAATGTTTAACATTACAATTGTCACTGTTAGGAGAATTGATCATGACCAAATGGAGCCATACTTTCCATCTGTTCAATATGTAGCCATTGATCACAAAATGGGAAAAGGAAGATTTACAATGTCCTTTCTGCAAAACCATTTTTATAAGGAGAAAAACAGCAACCCAGACCTGAGGATGATGTTAGATTCTAGGTCTCTCTATTTGGTCACTTATATTTTATTATTTATTTTGATTCTATTATTCAATTACATTAGATTATTATGATGCAATAAATCCTTAACAAATTTCTATACATGCACTAGCAGGGTAGGCTTTATTAACAAGACATAGCAATGAAGGCAAAATAGGTCCTAGGTTCAATCTATAAACCATATAACACATACACACACAAAAAAAAAAAAAAAAAAAAACCAACAACAGCAACAACAAAACAGTCATAAATTCACTAAAGGCCTAAATATGGAAAGAAAAGTTATTAAAATTTTAGAACAAGACACAAGGAAGTCTCATTATCATCTAAGTTAGGAAAGGATTTCTTGAATAATTTAGCAGAACTATACCCCAACAAAAATTTTGAGCAAAGTGCCTGAATTTAAAGGGTTTCATCACCGAATAAAAGAGAAGAAAAAAATTCAGATTCTATTGATCAAATGTTAATTAATTGGAAAAACATTTATTTGTTTTCTATACGGGCATCTTTACTTTCCTTCCTGGCAGGTGTTTTTCTAAGAAAGGGAATTCTTAAATCACTGATTATAAGAATGACACTATAGAAAAATAATTTTTTTATACAGAAGTAATTACTGAAAAACTGTAGCATACTCCCCCCAATTTGAGTACTTTCTTTCATACAAACAGGTTAGGTTGATTAAAAAAAAAAATACTGTATTTTCAAGAAAAGCCACTATGGATCTAAAACTCAAAGAGAGAAAAATGAACACAATGTGAGCATTCTATGTGGTTGAAAAATTCTTACTCTTTCTTGATTATAGCCCCACTGGAAAAGGGTTATAGAATTATAATCTTCTACACTAAAAGCACATTCTCTTAAGAGAGTAAATTAATAGCATCAGCATAATTCCTTTAAACTGCAAAGAAAATACTAATGAATTCAAAGATGAAACACCAAACAAAGGAAAGTACCAAGGCAAAATAAAGCAGCATTATTGTCAGTGAAATACATAAGAATTACTTCAAAATATAAAAGATCTTTTAAATACTATGATACATACATTTGAGGAAATGTTCATACATTAATACATATTTAACACAATATCAAAACTTCACCTTAAGTAGATACTGCCAAATTTCTCTACATACTGATCAGAAAATGTAAACTCCCACTTGTAGCATAAGGTTTCTCACTTTATGAGGTTTTATTAACAGTTTGTACTCTTAAGAGATTTTCAGTTTTGCTAACCTGACAAGAGTAAAATGGTAGCCTACTATTGATTTAATATACATTTTTCTGACCTCTTTTGAAATTGAACATCTTTTTATATATTTCTTTGGCATTTGTATTTGTTTTCACTGTGAATTTCCTAGGTTCCCTGTCCTATCTCCATCAAAACCAGGTTTATTATTTATATGGGTTCACTATTTTATTTGTAGAGATTCCTAATATGTCCTGGGTTATAATTTGTTTACTTATGTATATGCTAAGTATCCTCTCCCAATCCACCATGATATTTCACTTTATCCAGGGAGTCTTACAGCACTTTTTTTTTCATTTTAATATGATCAAACATATCAATCTCTTGCTGTACAATTAGTATTTGCTAAATTATTCAAGAAATCCTTTCCTAACTCAAATGATAATGATACTTCCTTGAGTCTTATTCTAAAATCCAAATAGCTTTCCTTTCTGTATTTAGGACTTTAATGAATTTATAAATTATTTGTGTATGTGTGTGTGTGTGTGTGTGTGTGTGTGTGTGTGTGCGCGCGCGTGCGCTGTTAAGGATTGAATCCAGGACCCTGCACATATTAGGCAAGTGCTGTACAAACCCAGCTCTGCAACTAATTTTTTAAAATACCTGAGATGATTTAGGTGTAAAAATTTTTTCCACATATACATGTCTATTATTCCCAGTATGCCCACTTCTGAAATCTGCTTTGCTACCTCTAAAATATGGATGATTTCTAGTCATTTGTGGAAATGTTTTTTTTCTAACCATTCCACCCAGATTTTTTGTTCTATTTGTCTTTCATTGAATTGATATCAAACTAACTATCTTAGTTACTATATCACTCACACTCATGCCTTATTATTTTTAACTTGTCTTGGCCAATTTTAGGATTTTGTTCTTCATATATATTGTGAAAACAATTTGTCAAGACTCATGAATTTTGTTTGCAAATTACACTGTAGGTGGGGGGGAGTACAGACAGCTTTATATGACAGATTTATGATATTAAACTTTCTATTTATGAAAAATACATATTTATTTAGATTTTTAAGTTGTCTTTGAAATTTCTAAATTTTTTCAACCAAAATTAAAGTTCTTGCTTGGCTTTTAAACTGATTCCTATATATGTTAAATTTGAGTGTGTTTTTGTAGGGATCTTTCTAAACTGCATTTTCTGTTGCTGAGAAACAGACTGAAATCTACACAGATTAAAACAACATATTGAAACCACATTTCAGACTCCCAGGAAACATGCTCATTTCTTTGATATTTAGTATACAGCAAGAACTTTAGAGAGACAATAAGTACTTATTAAAGAATCTAGCTGGAAAGACAGCAGTTCAAAAATCAATTCCTCTATGATTTTTCATCTCTTAATTATGCATAAGATTTACTTTTAAAGCTTTTAATATGGCAAGTGAGGATGCCCACTCTCCAAACCAAAGATATCAAAATCTCTGGGAGAGTGCTGGACATGTTCAGTTTTAGAAGATTTTTTTTTTTTTAATATTGGATCTCACCATGGATTTATGTGCTTTGCCTTAAAGCTTTCCAGAAGAAGTTGAAATATCTATCTACTTACCTACCTACCTACCTATATACAATTGAGATGAGTTAATTATATGGTTAAAAAACAGTGAGTGCCAAAGTTAAGTACATATTATGAGAAATTAGAAAGAGCAGTACATGGATAATCACCTAAGAGGTCAGTTTTAAATATTAAAATGTGCTGAAAATGATAATAGCAGTGATCCACAGGTCTATTACTCTACTTAATGAGGTTAAAAAAAAACCCCATGTTGTAGTTCAAATTGAAATACAAAAACCCAAATAAATCCAATAGAACTGAAAAAATTATCTCTGAGCATTAAAACAATAATTGAATCTACAAAGTCTACAAAATGATGTTATTCCCAACCATTTATTTTGTGTATAACTTGAAAACTATAGTAAATCTTATAACAAAGAAAAAATCAGATTATCTATAAATATCCAGTTATCTATTTTTTACATGGTACTTTGAAAATTACAAACACTCAATTTTTATTTTGGTTTTAGGATGGGAAAGCTAAACATACCTGGCTATGGAGCTATCAGTATATGTTTTTCTTTTGTTTGTAAGTATACTTGAGGCAGAATTTCTTGCCAAACTAGGTGGTGTGGTATTTCGAGATTTGATGTTAGCTCTAGAAGAGACAGAAATGATATGATGAAAAAGTACTGAACATAGACATTTATTTTTTAAATTATCTATCTATATGATTAGAAAGATAATTAGATGGTACAGAAAAGCTCAAAAGATAAAAGTTCACATAATTATTTTAAATCTGAAAACAAGCTATAGTTAATATTAAGGATAAACCAAAGCATTTTCATTCAATAACACTGACCAGATAATAAAAGTCAATTAAAATATTTACACTCTTTACATGAAATTTAAAATTTGAAAGGTTTCTGAAAGTATAAAGTTTTACATGCCTCAAAACATATATGTATTCCTGTTAAATAACTAGGCATACTGTTAAATAATGCATTAAACAAGCAATTTATTATTATCCTAAGCATGAGATATGACTTAAAAGTATAAGAACTATTAGCTAATCACTTTACAGGATAATACTCAACTTATAAAAGGTCTTCAAAGGAACCACTAAAATAAATAGGTTAATATAATTTTCCCTTTAGAAATTTAACCATAAGAACTACACAGCTTGGACTATCTACTACCAGGGAGACTTGGATGAATCATCACTGAATTCCCATTTTGAAACCTCGGAAATCAAAGAAAGATTATAAAGTTGAATGATGATATAACATTACAAGGCTTTTAATCAGATAAAACTAGATTCAAATCCTGCTAACTGACCAGCTTTGAGATATGATCAACCTCTTTGAGTTCATTCACTGATAAAATTATCATTTATAGGAAAGTTATAAGACCTAAATATATATAAACATTTAGCATTTGTGATGATGATAATACTATTACTACCATTACTAATACTAATGTTAATACTATTGTCACTGATACAAGCTAATACTTATATAATAATGCTTACTACAGACCAAACACATTTTTGCATATATATGCTTATTTAATCCTAATTTAATCCTAGTAATAATATTAATAATAATAATAATAAATCCTTATTTAATCCTAATAATCCTATGAAACTGTTCACCCAAGGTGAACAGTTAATATGCTGTAAAGCCAGGATTCAATATTCAATAAAGCATTAGTTCCTTTTTCTTCTTTAAAGATATAGTCAAATCTTTTCATTTCACACATAACCAATGTTACATTATAAGAACAAGCAGAATATTTTTTAAAATTCCTTTAGATTAGAAATTCTTAAGCTTTGACTGAAATTGTCCCTATTCTACTTGCATAATAAAGTTGAGAGAATCACCTAAAATTTTAAATTAATTACTTCCAAAAATCACATAGGTAATAACTGACTTTTTTTTTTCAAACACCCATACATTATATGTAATTCTACCTTCTACAAAGTGGTTGCTTTGGGTAGTTACTTTTTCAGAGTAAGTAAAGATTCACCTTGGTGTGTGAATGGGATGCTCTAAACTTCCTCAAAAAGTCTTTCCAAGTTCATCCATGAGGTTCATTCTACTCTATTTCTATAGTCTATCTAGGGATGTTGTAGAATGACTGTAGTGCCTTTTAAGGAATTTAATCTCTTAAATCATTGCCAAAGAATGGCATTTGACTGGGAAGAATACTTCCTCCCCTTTTTAAAGCTCTAGAACATCTTATTAGAAATCCTATCACCTCTTATAATATGTGCGTGCCAAGATATACCATTGACACAAATACACCCATGAAAGTACATACATTTAAATATACATACATTTAAAATGTTTACATTTAGAGGGAAATACAAGATTATCAACATTAATAGCTGTGATATTAAATAACCTAACATTTGTTTTTAATAATGTACTCTAAGAGGTAGGTTCTGAATATTAATGTTTTTCTTCTAGATCACAATCTGAAGACTATTACCCAAAATCTATTATCTAGAATTTGCTTGCTCAAACATAATAAAAGTAAGTATCATTGTAGAATTATACTTTAATCCATCTTACTGATAGGCAGGTTTTTGTTTTTGTTTTTTAGATATGTTTCAGAGGGTACAGATAGTAACAGTAGCACAAAGACAAATGGCTTAGGACAAAGTCTTCCTTCTAGGATCTATCACTAACTACTTAAAAATAACCCATGACTGCTACTAGTATGATAAAGATTCCTCCCATCTTTATTCGACTGTATATCTAGTTAAATTTATTATTATATATCATACATATATAATAAGCAGAATGTGTAATACATATTGGTTTAAAATAAACTATTTAGTAACATATTTTGTAATTTTAATAAGTAAATTAATATGTACTGGGCCCTAACTTCATCATTTCCAATGAGATTTGGTACTGAAGTCTAAAAGTCTAAATTAGTAAACCCTGTAGACTCTTCCTGTAGAGTTTCAAAAATAACTGTTTTTGCCACACTCTCTCTTCAGTTATGTCAGAACACAAAGGAGTGAATCTGGCAGTGTAATATCATTTCCCTGTTTTATATGTAATTTACAGCCATCTAATAACAAAAAGAGTAAGAATCCTTTGATTATTTTCTAAGACCTTCGCCCTACCCCCGGCTAACATCATTCTGCATCTGCTTAACAGATAATTTAGTAATATTACATGACATAATTTTCTCCTTTATTTTTCTTTTCAAAAGTATTATTTACTGCTAATAAACTCTATAAAAACAACTTTTGAAGGTGACTTCTATTAAACCCTTTAAAAATAAATATTTAATGGAGTAAAATACATGCCTTAAAAACAGTGTTAGTTAGAATAGAAATATTGAACAACAATGAAGTGTTTAAGTCCTAGAAGATTATTTAGCACTTTTTGGCTTAAAATGATTAAGATTTCTTTTTAAGAAGGTAAGAGTTACAGTAATCTACTATATAAAGCCTTTTAAAAATCTGGAAAATACTAACTAAACTGAGTTACAAATACTTACTTGTAAATGGGTAATAACTCATGTCTTTTGATGGCACTGTCTGATTTTGTATCACTGTCATACAACCTTTGCACATGTCTTCCAGTTCGAAGTGGAGGGCCTAACTTGTCCATCTTACTATTAAAATATATAAAGGTGTACCCATAAGGAGATTGCTACTGTTTTGTTTCTTTATATAAAGAATTTCTTTCTTTCTTTTTTTTTTTAGAAAAAGACATTCTGATTCATCAGAAATCCACTACCATCCCTTAATTATCTGACTTCCAGAGTATAACAATTAATGTTAAAAAGAATTCTCAAGAGAGTTCACACAATATCCATGATTAGATCCCCAAATTCTGACTATCCAGTTCACCCTGACAGTTCTGATGCACATAAGAACAACTGCCACATTCACATGTAACAGGGAAATGGAATCAATCAGGAAAGACAACAAATATTTCAATGAAAATTTTGTAAAACTAGAAGTGAACTATGCTATTATTCACAAATTATTTAACCTTTTCTTTTTTCTTCTCTATTATTTTATTCTATGATTTCCCTGCATTTTATGATTCTAAAAATAAGAATTAAATAGTTTTGTATCTGACTTTCTGATAATGGAATGAGTTTATTTCTGAACTTTATGTAGGAAACAGTAAAATATTAACTATGTGAAAAAAAACATAGATGCACAATTTAAAAAATCATACATAATATGTTAAATAAGCATGCCATGTAAAACTATTTTTTTTCTGCCAAAGGTATACAGGATCTCCATCTAGAGGATAAAGTACAAACTGCAGGTTTATAGGTTATTTCCCTGCTTTAAATCAATCAAATACTGAATCACATATACCATCACCAACAAATAAAATTAGGAATTTTTTAAAACAACCTTAAATGACTACTGAATAACACTGCTGAACTTCAAATTATATTCTATTTAAAAGATGTTTGTTCATTCATTTTTTTTCCCATTCATTCACTAACTCAATAAACCCTGAGCACTGACTATGTGTCAGATGTCAGGCACTGTGCTAATTTCTGGGGGCATAGTACTAAATAGAAACTATTAATGTCCAAAAAGAATCTATTCATTTTTCTAGATTATAAAGGTCTCTGAGGAGGAACACATAATATTCATTTTTATGTTTTCAGTAGCCTAAACATAGCAAATGTTTCTTTATAAAAGTTGGTATTAATATTCTACAGGTGGTGGTATTTAAATTTGGAATTAAAATTGCCTTCTTTAAATATATATTAAACATAACTTATAAAATGTTTGATATTAAAATTTGGTTTCTTAATGAAAAAGATTATTAGTATTCGAATTAATTAGCTTTTTCTTTGAATTGTTAAACAATTATTAAAAAGACATTATTGTTCCAAATGTGGTTAGGTTTATCTTTAAAAGGGCACCAATGGTTTATGAATACGGTATAAAAAAAATCTTTCTCAGGATAACAGTTACTAAAATTAAAATTTGGAAAATTTTAGCCAAGCAAAAACAAGTTCTTGGGTTTTATCCTGAACACCAAAAAAAAAAAAAAAAAATCAGATTTTCAAATATGGTGAGGAGAGTAAATCAACAAAATTCAATTTAGGAGAGGATATGTATAGCCTCTAATAAAAATCTAAGGGTAATTATAAATATTTTCAGATTTTAAAAACCTAACTGAAAGGCAGGTTCCACTGATGATTTCTCCTACATACTTCTGTTATAAAATTCAACTTAGTGTATGTGAGTGTATATGTGTTATCACACATACACACATAAGCACACACACCTCAAATATTTCCTAGGTTCAATGTTAGTAATGTTATTTTTATATTAAAATGACTTAAACTTATGTTCTGCTATAATCTGCTATGGCTAGGTTATGTATCAAAGCCAAAATTTAGACACCTCAATAGTGATCAAAATTTTATACAATATTATTGCAGGCTTTCACAATATGTACATCCTCATAAACTTTTTTTCTTCTTTTTTCTAAGTATTGGAAATTGAAACTAGTACCTTCACTGAGCTATATCCCCAACACTTTTCTTTCTTCTTTTTTTTTATGTTTATTTTTTAGTTGTAGTTGAATACAATACCTTTATTTTATTTATTTATTTTTATGTGGTACTGAGGATGGAACCCAGGCCCTTGCACGTGCTAGGCAAGTGTTCTACTGCTGAGCCACAAACTCAGTCCCTATCCCCAACCCTTTTCTTAATTTTATTTTTGAGATAGAATCTTGCTAAGTTGGCCAGTCTGATATCAAATTTGTGATCCTCTGCTCTCAGCCTCCTGAGTAACTGGATTACAGGTATGTTACTTCATCCAACTCAATGGACATTTTAAGAAATATTTGACAATGCCATTAATCCATTCCTAATTTACTAAGAAAGCTCCCTGTTTACTACTAAATCAATTAGGAAATAAATCACTCACTCTGATTTACCAAGTCTTTTCTAAGACTATACTAAGCATAGTAAATTGAGATGTAATAAAAAGAAAATTTCTGAATTCATATTTTACCAAGTAGCATTTAATATCTTTGTGGACTTCTATATTTATGATGCTCTGAGGTAGTTAAAGTTTTGAAATGTGTCAAATATCTACTTTTAATCTTAAATCCATCAAGCCTTAACAGACAAATCAGTACTCTATTTCCATTGCAAAGTTATCTCCCTAATACAATAGCCTCATTTTTATCCACATAACAAACCAAGTTCTGCAATCTAGATCAGTAAGATAGAAAAGTTTATAAAAATCTAAATATTGTTCCACAATTCAATTCACACACATCGGAAAAATTAGCTTATGAAAAAAACATGCTTCCATTCATGCAAAAACTATATTTGTTTCTTACATAAGAAAGTATGAGCAAATTCAACTTTTTTGTTAAAATATTTCTTATACGTATTTATAGTTTAACCTCATCTATTAATCTCCAAAGTAATCTTACATTTTTTAGTCTTACATTTTTCATAGTAACTGAACAGAAGTAAATCTCTTAAAGTTGATATTTCAGCTACTGGAAATTATTAGTAGAGATATACATTTAAACTGATATTTAAAAGAAACAGTTCTCAATGAAAAACTGTACAACACTCAAATGTGTAAAGTTCAAATGTGGCTGTGGCAATATTTAAAAGTTTAGTGCTTCATTACACTTCTAAAATTTCCTAGGATTAAAGATAATTATCTTTTAAAATATGGAAAAATTTTTACATTGGAATGTTTTGCTTCTTAAAAAGTCTGTTGAAGTTGACCCATAGGATGTCTAGAATTTAATCACCAAACATGAGAATTTTTTCAAGTGCAAAGCTTAATTTTTCTGTTTTATCACTCTAATACATGCTAACTATTATAGATCCCTAGTTACCTAATTAAAATGAACCATACTAAAGAGTACATACACCAGACTTCAAGCAACTGCAAGCCATTGAAGTGATGTCATTTACTAATATGAACAGATACTCAATTTCTTGAATGTTATAGTTAACCAGACATATTAATTTCATTTTCACTCAAACTTCAATCAACTGATTAAATGGAAAAAAAATGGTTGCCATAAAAATTTCAAGTAGTTCTTCCACTTCCACTAGGACCATAATGCTATGATGTATAAACAGGTGTACAGATGAGTGATTTAATTTATTAATTCATTTTCTAAACTTTTCACTAAAAGTATAACATATACCTACATGGCAAGCATGCTGCTAGCCTTTGTATGTATATCTCTCATGTGTCACAAGGTGGTCTCTGTCATTATGGAGCTTAAAATCTAGCAAGGGAAACAAATCATTCACCTCAATAGTTTTACAATAGGCATGGTATCTTCCACTTAACTGTTGTGAATGATTCTAACTTAATGTAATCATATAGAAATATTCTGGTTAATATAGTGCATATATTGTCCAGAAACAGATACCCTTGCTCTCTTTCCAGTACTGGGAAACCCTCTTTTAAAACATAAAATGGACAATGAGAATTTGAACAGATATGATTCACAGTTTAATGAGATATGAGACAACAACATTTTTAATCTTTATGGCATTATAAGAACAACACAAGTATTGTGTTCAAAATCTCTGCTTTATAATAAAAACATTTTCCTTTAGGAAAATATTGGTCACGTATTCTAAGAAACGTCCTTAAGATCTAAGTAGACTCAGAATTTTGTCAAAGTTAAATGATATATTCGAAGACATCTACCTAATTAGTGGCATAGTAGAAAGCAAAAGCCTAGTTTTCTAAGATCAGCACTCCTTTTTTTTAATATTACCTAGCTTTATATGTCCTACTTAAGATCAGTGGTTAAGTATAAGTTAATATTGCCAAGTGATCAAATTACCAGTATGAAGTACTAGAAAATACTGCCTCTTAAATTCATAACCACTATAAATGAAACCATAAGCAACATTACAAACACTATAACCTAACATAAAAGACAATTCTTTTTTGATATAATAAAAAGGCTTTGCAAAATTCATTGTGAATGTATACTTCATTTAACCAACCAATGAGTCAACTCAATAGAGAAGGGAAAAAAATTTTTTTTAACCAATGGAAAATGAGATTCTTTTATTTTTCAGCTGTTAATCTGTTACTATTTTATTTTTCAACTATTCCTTCTACTATTACTATGTATCTTTTTAAAAAGATAGCCTGCTTCTTCTCTTTGGAGGTATAACGAATAGTAAGAAAAATATTCAATTCATCAGCTCTAACAAGTTGAAATTTTTCTTTTCCTACAATATTAACTATATTAAACTCTTTTAGGTCTTATATTTTGCATATGGTATGAATTGGGAAATAACAGGTAGTAAATCTCACTTGATAAAAACCCTTATATATATTTCCTACAAGAAAATCAAAATGAATGTGAGCCACAGATAACTTATATTTGAAAATAATATGGCTATATTTTATATAACAATAGGGCTATATTATTAGCCTAATTTTCTGATTTATTAAAATGAAAGGGAAAGTAAATTTATAACAGGTGACTTAATATTAAAATCTCTGGCATTACCAACAAATTTTCCATATTAAAATGGATTATTAAAAGTTGATTTAAGCTACTTCATTAATCCTTTTAAGTCCCAAATATTCAATTCTGTCAATGTAACAATTATTTCAAAATCCAAGAATGGCCTACTTGTTTTCAATTTTAAGTTTTTAGAGATGTTCCATAAATGGTATATGGGACAAAATGGGTTAAAAGCCATCTAGGTAACAATGTGTGAAAAATGCATAAAAAAAGATTAAATAAAAGGAAAAGAATTACCCATTTGATATTTCAGCATATATTGTCTATATTTCTACACATAATTTTCTCTGTGTATAGCAGAATTATCTTATTAAAATTTGTTTATATTTTTCTGGCTGTAAAATATCCCTTTATAGATTTTCAAAGCATACTATTCAATCAAAGCTAGTGATTTTATTTCACTTTTTTACATTATAATGTGAACATAATAAAAACAAATAAATAAATATTCAAATATTTAAAGTAGATCTCATCTTGTATCTTGTTTCTCTTAACAGCTTGTGGCTTTAAAAAATGCTTCTGATTTTGTTATTCATGGTGTGGAGAGGTTTGAATAAAAATACATGCAAAATGTCTAGCACAGTGCCTGACACATAGTGCTTAGCAAGTTATAAGCATTAAATAACACTTCAAAAAATATTTCAAAATATTTCCTGAGAGTACATTCCCAGAAATAAAATTATTCAACCAAAAATATGATCATTTTAAGGCTCACTATAAATACCATCAGATTATTTTCTAAATACTAGTTTAGGTTCTCAACAAGGATGAGTATGCTCCTAATCAACAATACATTAAAAAAAAACTTAGAAAATTAAGTTTAATGAAAAGGCTGATTACCAGAATCAAAATAAAAGTTCAATGCCATTTAAAGACATACCATGAATAAATTATTGAATGTAAACTTACCCTGCCTGAGGAGTTGCTATAGCTTTATGAGAAGGAGATAAGGACTGAAGTTTGTTTCCCAAAGAGCTGCTAACTGAAGGCACTTTACCTGAAGGTGTTCCTTATGACAAAAAAGGCAACAGTTAAAGAATTCTCTAAAAAATTAACATAGAATACAGTATCTGACAAGGAAAACAATTCTTTAGTAATGTTTTTTACAGCTATAGGTCAAGTTATTAATAAAAAAATTCTTCTTAAAAGTGATATTTTAAAATGTTATTTCCAGGGAATAACATATTCATTTCTAATTTCTAGATTATAATATACATAAAAATAAAGGTACATTTCAGTGGCCAATATGTTCTTCAAACCATTATTATTATTTTTTTAATCAGGAAAATTGTCAACTCAGAGAAGTCTGAGGAACCAAGGTAGAAATGAGAGGAAAATACTTATGGTCAGTGAATCAAAAAAAGAACCTGGCCAGTTATTCTGAACATATATTAAGTAAAAAAAAAAACAATAAAATCTCTAAAGTATAAGCTATTGAAAGGTGATTTATTTGTATCCATAAATAATTACTAATGCACATCTCTTAATTATAAAACTATTTTAATAATCCAGAATAGAGCACAATCTTTACTTCCTTCTCTAAACAGTTTTTAAAAATTAAGTGATGTTATGGGATCTCATTACCTACAACAGTTTTGCTAATGCCACTTGGCTGTGGTAATCGTGAAGATCCTGATGGCATGGTTCCAGGAGAATTTGACTTTTTAAGTGCAGGTGGCTTATACTAAAATAATAAAAATAAAATATTCTATTAACATAATTTTCTGATTATGAATTATAAACTAGTAATTCAAAAGTTCACATTCTTCAAGTCTAAAATTTTAGCTTTACAAGAAAAAAAGGTATGGAGATGAATGGTGATGCTGCACAACATTATAAGTGTATTTAATCCCACTGACTATACACTCAAATGTTATGGTGTAAGTAAAATATTCATATTTACAAAGATTTTTGCTGAAATCATAGAAAGTTTATTTCTCAAAAATGGTCTATTTGGACTAACCCTTTAATGAAAAACTAAAAACAAGCATGAAAGTATAATAATGTATGTACAAAGTAATTTAAAAAGCACTGAAAGTCAGATGGGAGGAAAAGAAATTGCCAACCTAACTCCAATTTGAGATTTATAATACCTGCTTGGCTATCACATGTATTTGCTTTACAAATTAGACTAGTCAAGAAAATAACACTAATAATTTAATTTAAATATTTCCAGGGTCATAGTACTCCTAGATACCTGGAAGGAACAAACACAAAATTTATCTGTGAGAAGGCAGATATAAGAAGGCATAATAACCATCATAAATACTTTCTGAATGGTAACAAGTTGAAAATAGTCAATAATAACCAAGGAATAAGTATATGCCATGAATATGGGGGAGAAGACAGAAACACATTTAAGCTGCCTGATAGTACAATTATCAGACACATATTACAACAAAATGATTATGTGTATTATACTTAAATAAATGATGGATATGAGAATAGTTTATGAGAAATTGGAAACAATAAAATGTAGGAAACTAAAAAAACTTCAAGAAATTAAAAATGTGGTAACAAATTACAATCTCAGTGTAAAGGGGTAAAGTAGCTGTATAACTCTCCTGTAGATAATAATTACAAGAGGATTAAAAAAAAAAAAACATAAAAAAAAAAAGACTGAGAGGACCCAAAACTGTGTCCTCTGGGTTTAACTGCCTAAGATATAAGATACTCTCCCACTCCTAAAAAGAGAATAACAATGAAAAATAACCAGTTTGGTATATTAACTACAATAATTAGTTTTCAGCAAAATATTTCTAGCAAATGAACAGGGAAATATGGCTCATACTCGGGCTGGGGATATGGCTCAAGTGGTAGCACGCTCGCCTGGCATGCGTGCGGCCGGGGTTCGATCCTCAGCACCACATACAAACAAAGATGTTGTGTCCGCCGAAAACTGAAAAACAAATATTTAAAAAAAAATTCTCTCTCTCTCTCTCTCAAAAATAAAAAAAAGAAATATGGCTCGTACTCAACAAAAAAATGACAGTGAACAGAAATCAACTCCACATGGGCAGAGGTGTCAGATTTAGCAATCAAAGACTTAAAAAATAATTATTATAGTTATGTTCAAAATGCTTCTGAAAATAAAATTAAGGGGTAACACGGTAGGAGGTAAATGGAAAAATTCATAGATAAGAATAAGTTATGCTATTCCTATAGAAAATTTAAAAAAACAAAAAGCAGAGTTAGCCAACAAAAAAACAGTGTTGCTTATTAAGACAAAAGAGACAGAGAAGTAAAAGAAGAATCAAAAATTGAAGAATGCAACATGGCAGACCTCAGCACAACCTATCAAGAATAATTACATTAAACAGAAATGTCTCAACACTTCAACCAACAGGTTATGGTTGCTAAGCTAAATTAAAAAAACAAAAAGAAGAATGAATTATAGGCTTGTCTACAGAGTATGCAAAGACATTTAAAGAAAAGAAAGAACAAAAAATAAATAATTAAGTAAATGGCTATATTCTTACCAGATGAAACACATTTGAACAAAAGGAAAGCTGCCACAGAAAAGGGATACATCATATGGTAAAAGGGACATATATAACAAATTATAAATATTAAGAGAAATTCACTTATTTGTAAAACTCAAGAGCAAAGCACATATTTTTTTTCCAGATGTCATGTAACATCCGCCAAAAAAGAATATGTGCATCAATAAAACAAATCTCAATAAGGTAGAAATTTTGCATAATGTTTTACAACAGAATTAAACAAAAATAAAACACTGAGAAAAAGCCCCAACTATCCATAACTAAATGCTTCACTCTGAAATAAACTATGAGTAATAGAATTACATATTAGAAAATATTTTAAACTGAACAATAAGAAGCATATTGAGATTTGTATATATTGGAAAGCCTAGAAATGTATTCATATCTGGATAAATAAGATCTGCCAAAACTGAATCAAGAGGACATAGAAAACCTAAACAAACCTATAACTATAGCAATGAGTTAAAAGCAGTAATAAAAAGCCTTCCAACAAAGAAAAAAACAAGATGGATTTTTAGTTGAATTCTACCAAACCCTTAAAGTAATGCCAATACTCTTCAAATTATTCGATGAAATAGAAATGAATGGAATACTTCCTTCTATCAAGCCAATATTACACTCATACCAAAACAAGAACAGAACACACCAAGGAAAGAAAACTACAGACCAATATCCCTGATGAACTTATATTAAAAAATACTTGAACAGTAGTAAATCATGTTCAGCAATATATGAAGAAGAGTGTACACCACAGTCAAGTTGGTTTTATTTCAGAGGCAAGGATGGCTTAATACATAAAATAAATATAATTCGTCACATAAAAAGAATTAAGAACAAAATTACTTGGTCATCTCAACATATGCAGTGAAGGCCTTTGACAAAATTTAATACCCCTTCATGATAAAAACACCAAAGAATCTAGGGATAGAAGGAATCTACCTCAACATTATGAAGGCTATATATGAAAAAATCCAAATCCAATTTCATGGTAAATGGGGAAAAACTGAAAGCATTCCTTTAAAATCTGAAAGAAGACAAGACTGTTCACTCTCACTACTCCTATTTTATACAGTGCTAGAAATTCTAGTCAGAGCAATTAGGCAAGAGAAGGAAATAAAAGGATAAACACAGAAAATGAAGAAATTAAACCATCACTGTTTGCAGATGATATGATCCTATATCCAGAAGATCCCAAAAACTTCAACAAAAGACTTCTAGAGCTAATAAACAAATGTGGCAAAGTAGCAGTGAACAAAATCAACATACAAAGATCAATAGCTTTCATATATACCAGTAATAAACGTGTTGTGAAAGGAATCAGGAAAATAATTCCATCTGTAATAGGCTCAAAAAACAGAAAATAAATAAAACAAAACACCTTTAGAATAAGTCAAGGATGTGAAAGACTTCTACAATGAAAATACTGAGAAAGAATTTAAAGAAGACCTCAGAAGATGGAAAGACTTCCCATGATCATATATATACAGGAAAAATTAATATTGTTAAAATGGTCATACTACCAAGAGCAATATACAGATTCAATATGATCCCCATAAAAATACCAATGACATTCATCACAGAACTAGAAAAACAGTCCTAAAATTCATTTGGAAGAATAAAGACCCAGAATATCCAAAGCAATTTTGAAGTTAATAAGCAATGCTGGAGACATTACAATACCTGACTTCAAACTATTCTACAGTTAGAGTAACAAAAACTGCATGGTAGTGGCATAAAAACAAACACAAAGACTAATGGTACAGAATATAAGATACAAAGATAAACCCACACATCTACAGTCATCTGATGCTTGATAAAGGTGCCAAAAACATACATCGGAGAAAAAGACAGCCTTTTTATCAAATGGTGCTGAGAAAACGGTTGTCCATATGTAGAAGAGTGAGACTAGACCTTTATCTCTTACCCTGCACAAAAATCAACTTGAAATGGATCAAAGACATAGGAATTAGACCAGAAACTATGCAACACCTAGAAGAAAACACAGGACCAACACTTCAACTTTTAGGCACAGGCAACAACTTTCTTAATAGGACCCATGAAGCTCAGGAAATAATATCAAAAGAGTTGATTCACAATATGATAAATGGGATGGTATCAAATTAAAAAGCTTCTGAACAGCAAAGTAATCAATTAAAAGTGTGAAGAAAGAGTCCACAGAATGGGAGAAAATGTATGCTAGTTAATCTTCTAACAGAGGATTAAAATCTAGATATATAAAGAACTCAAAAAACTTTACACCAAAAAAATCAAATAACCCAGTTAATAAATGGACAAATGAATTAAACAGAAACTTCTCCAAAGAAGAAATACAAATGGCCAACAAATATATGAAAAAATGTTCACCATCCTTAGTAATTAGGAAAATGCAAATCAAAACTAGACTGAGATTTCATCTTATACCAGTCAGAATGGCTGACATTAAGAACACTAATAATAAATTCTAGAGAGGATGGGGAGAGAAAAAGAATACTTTTACAGTATTGATAGGACTGCTATGTAGTACAACAATAGAAATCAGTATGGAGGTTCCCAAAAGACTAGACATGGAACCACCATATATCTCAGTAATACCACTCCTCAATATTTATCCTGAAGAACTAAAGTCATCTTACTACAGTGACTCATGCATACCCATGTTTGCAGCAGCACAATTCACAAATTGTAAAAGCAGTCTAGGTGTCCACCAACGGACAAATGAATTTAAAAAAATGGAGTTTTAATCAGCCATAAAGAAAAATGAAATGATGTCATTTGTAGAGAATGGATAGAACTAGAGACCATATGTTAAGTGAAATAAGTCAAATTAAGAAATTTAAGAGTTATATGTTTTTCTTCCATATGTACAAGCTAAAGAGGAAAAAGGAAACAAAAGCAGGGGGCAGATCTCAAGAAAATTAAAGGGAGATCAGTAAAGGGAAAAGGCACTAGAGGAGGTTGGGAAGAAGGGAAAAGTGTTAGGGAGTGAAACTGGTCAATTGTATTGTTATATTCTGTATTGTGATAAATCCCATCAATATGTCCAACTATAATGCATCTATTAAAAAATGCAGAGAAAAAGAATTGTAAGATGCACTCAAACAATGCAATGAAAAAAAGTCTTTGTAAAGAAGTAATAAAATTTCATAAGCCTCTTGCAAGGCTGGAAAAGAGGTAAACAAAACAAAACTACTTGTTGGAGAGAAAAACGAAAATATAAAATATCAGTATCAGGAATGAAAAAGGGGAATAAAACACTATAAATATTGTAGGCATTAAAAAGTTAATAATTTTATGTCAATAAATTCAACTACACATATAAAAGAGGTAAATTGCTTTTAAAAAGCAAAATGCTAACTGAAAACCGAGAACTACCACATTAAACAACCTTACAATTAATAAAATAATCTATGTAATAATTTAAAATCTCAGAAAAAAGAAAACTGTATGCCTAGAAATCTTCACTGTTAAACTCCAGAAGAAAATGTAAGAAAAAAAAATAACAAAAACTTTTCCAGAAAATAGGAAATAACTGCAAACCTCTGATGAGGCAAGTATTACTCTCAATCAATACCAGCCAAATTATAGATCATTTCATCTATTCTTCCCCATAAGGATAGATGAAAAAATTTTTAACAAAATTTTAGTATATCAAATTAAAAAACATAAAAATAATAATTTTTGACTAAGTAGAATTTACTCACTGAATGCAAATTAAGTTTGACATTTGAAAATCTGTGTAATTTATCATAAGCATAACATAATACAGGAAAAAACACATTAGTGTTTGAATAGACAAACAACATTATACAAAATTCAAATTACATTTGCAGTTAAAGAACAAAAACAAATACAAACAAATAAACCCTCATTAAATAGAGGAGAACATTCTTAGCTTGACACAAGTCAGAGATGAAAACTCACAGCTAGCTAATATAGTACTGCACAGTCAAAAATCAAATGTTTGCCAACCTAGCCTTGAATTTGCAATCCTCCTGCCTCAGTCTCCAGAGGACCAGGGGATTACAGGCATGTGCCATTATGCTCAGCTTAACAAAAGGTGTTTTCCCAAAAATGACAATGATAATAATGATATGGTCTATTTTCAATAACATTTTAAGAACTCAGTACAAAGATTCTCTCAAAGAAGCCCCTATTGTATTGGGGGTCTTTTAATCTAACATATTACTTGTAAGTAACAAGAGATATGGACTCAACCATTTGTTGTTTAGATTTACAACACTCAATAAAACCTGCTAGATCAGATACAGTGATACTCATCTGTAGTATCAGTTAATTGGGAGGTTGAGAATGCAAAGATCTTTTGGCCACAGGAATTCAAGGTAAGACTGGGCAATACAGTGCAGTGCAACCCCTTCTCAAAAGAGAAAAAAATTTGTTCATAAAAAAAAGCTATGTGAAACAGAAATATGTTCATAAATCTAACATTATCAATATTTTTGTGTACTAGTGTTTAAAGAAAAACAATAGTGTTATAAAAATTAATTTACTATAAAAACCTTATATATCAGTAGTTTACGTGCTTTCATATACATTGTTTCATTTGTTTTTCATAATCATCAGGTGGTTATCACTTAATGGCATGTTATTTGTCTAGAAGTTCCAAAGAAACAATTAGAATGTGAATCCAAGTTTCCCTTCCCTCATGTACATTTCTCAGTACTGACATGATTTTCAAACTTTGACTTTTATTGCCATTAACTTAGTCTTCCAACCCTTTTATGTTTCCTCTGAATTTGGTAATCCTATGTTTAATTTATTTTATTACTTTATTACTCTTTAAATTGATACATTCTCAAGTCCCTACCAACTCAAGTACTTCTCAAATCAATTAATTTTAATAATTATTTTCAATTAAGCATTTTAATCCCTTAGACATTTATTTTATCAGGTGATAAAATTATAGTATAATGTCCTATAAAGCATAAACATAAACTATGAATCTCAAAGTGTCATTTTCTCATTGATCAATAGAAATTATTAAAATTGAGCATTTCACCTGTGTCCGAGAAGTTGGTTTTCCTTTGGTGTCAGTAGAAAACTTGCTTTTGTTACTAATACGTGCTGCCTGTTCTTTACAGAAATTGATATGTCTATCAGCTGCATTTTCATTAAATCTCCTTTGGCAATATGGACACTGAATATAATCTAAGACAGAAACAGATTAATAAGAGAATACCTGAAAGGGGATATTAAGAATCATTGGTTTTTAATGAACAATAATTAAAGATGCATAACATAGTTAATATCTGATAAGCAAAAACTCCCATTTTCATATAACATCCAGCCTGATAAACTTAGTAAAGACTATAAAGAAAAAGTCCAATGAATTCATTCTAATTTCTTTCTAACTTTGAATCAAATTTGAGGAGAACTGAAGAGAAAAAAAAGAACAAAAGATAAATCTTCAGGACAAAAGAATGAATAAGTAGAAGAAAAGATATCATTTCTCCTTTACTTCTATAATACCATATGTATGCTTTCATTCTGTATATATACTGTATATGGTAGACTAGTTAAACCTAATATACCGTACTAATATACCACTTAAAATATAGCTTTATCCATAGAATCTTATACATCCATTAGAGAAAACCACTGAAAAATAGTTTTATTCACTTCCAACAACTTTACTTTCTTTTAGAGGTCCTACAGATGGAAGAAGTGATTTTTAAAAACTTAAAATTAACATAATTAATTTAAATTTAAGAGACAATGAATATTTCTAAGACAAAATATTCTTCCAAAATGTAGTAACTGTAAATAAAATTTCTTTTAATATTGAATGTCAAAATTAACCCATAACCAAATTTTGAAGCATTTCAAAGGACCTCAACTGAATGAAAAACTGGGAATAAACAAAAAATTAGTTCCAAAAAAAAAAAATCTTCACATGTTTACTTTTGGATAGGGAGTGTGATCTTTAAAAATTACACTAAAACCCCTAATAACAAAGAAGTAGTTTTTGTCAAGCCAAAGAGAATTTTCTAAATCCATTACCATTCCAAAGAACTAGTACTCCCTCACTCACTAATGCAGACATGAAAAGAAAAAAAAAATGTATGCAATATCCAAATACCTCCAAAGTAGAGAACTCAACTTCATGGGGAAAATAAAGACAGAAGAGTTTCAAAGCCCAGTTGGAGCATCTCAGAAATAGTCAAAACAATTAAAAGTAATTACTAATACTCTAAAGTAGTATTTGGCAAAGTATAGCCTATGGGCCAAATTCAGCCTGCCTGTTGCCTCTTTATGTAAATAATATTTCATTAGAACAACATAGCTATGCCTGTTCATTTATACATTATCTATGACTTATTGAAATAATGAAAGAGTTAAAGTTCCAACAGGTACCTTATGGCATACAAAGTCTAAAAAGTTTACTTTATGGCTTTTTATAGAAATAGTTTGCAGACCTCTCCTCTACAATAAAATATTTTAAAAAAAGATCATGTCTAGATTTGCTGAACAGCATTCTCTTTCCTAAGAAATAAACCTCAATCTAGAATACTAACTCGATTTTAATGTGGCTAACTTGTTCATTAAAATAAACTTTAGGCTGTTCTAATAACCAATAGCTAATTGTCTATTAGGATCACAATATCTCATGTGGGTTTTCCAAAATCTTGTTTTACATTTTGTTAACCCTGAACAATGCAACTTTTAGCTATTCAATGAATAAAATTAAAAGCATAATTTAGGTAATCAGTCTATATCATAGTTTTCCTATGTGAGATATATACCTTACACATATTGGCCTTTTTTTCTTCCTAGATAAGAAGATACCAGAGAACCAGTCAACATAACTATCTGAATTCTACTCAATGACTGTATCTCAACCCACAATGAACATGATTAATTTATCTCCTAGAAAACTAACATTTAATTTGCCATATAATTTTTAAACATGCTATAATTTTTATGCTTAAATACAAGTACTGTGATAAAAGGATAATGTACTCCTACACTCCACACAGATTTATCTTTATAAAACTAGATGGCTGGGATATGACCATTATTTAATATCAAAGTATTTAGAGATTATGCTTTAGGTTCAAGTTTTGTTACAACTTAAAATGCATAAATATTCTATCATTATTTTCTGTCCATGTGAATATTTATATCAACAGTATTCCATATATACCAGGATCATAAGAAGGTGGAGGAGGAGGAGGAAGTTTGCCACCCTCTTTAAGTGCCTGATCAAGGCCTTTAGCTGCTCTTATGGTGGCAATGAATTCTTCATGTTTTCTTCTCCAATTTGAAGGTTTCTTTGGTGGTTCTGGCTATAAATAAAGAAAACCCAATATCAAAACTATTAATAAATATAAATAAAACTTGAGATAATGCCAAATCATTTAATATCATATTCTCTTAACAGGAATCCTTAAAAGATTCCTTCCCAAATTAACTTTTTATGCAGTTGCACTGTATGCAACTTTTAAAATATAATTCTAATTGACAGACATCCTTTATAGGTGTAACATGCATTTATGCTCCCAGTAATAGTGCACTTTTCTGTTTTCCTATAATTTCTCCAATGAAATTTAGCAAACTTTTGAGATTTCAACTGACTAAAAGGTGAAATATTGTCCTCTCTAATGTGGATTTAATTGGATTTTTCTTGAGATTGAACATTCTTTCACTTCACTAAACACCATCTGTATCATTTATCCTATAAACTTTTTATATTCCTTGTCCTGTTTATTGGTTGGGTTCTTGGGTCTGTTTGTGACAATTTCTAGTAGTTCTTTAGCTATTATTCCCTCTAACAACTGGCCTGTCTTTTGACTTTGCTATGGGTCCTTTAAAATGCAGAACTTTTTTAAAGGTAGTTTAATTTACTAATCTTTTCTTTCATAGTCTGCAATCACAGTAAGTGCCTGGACCAAACACATACCAAGGCCAACATAGTAAGTTTGCCTGGGCCAAACACATACCAAGGCAAAATAAAATGTTCCCATGTTTCCTTCTGGAACATGCATGGTTTCTATTTTAAACATTTAAATTTTAAAATTGTATTCAGTTGTAATTATTCTGGTAAATGGTGAAATATATGAATTCGATTCATTATTTTCTTTTAACAAGACAATGCAGCTATCAAACCACCCTTAAACTTTTTTTCCCACAGAACTGTGAAAACATATTAATCACAAACTAAACCCTTTTGAATCTGGGCATATTTCAAAACTTTCTCTTCCATTCCATTTTTCTAACTATCATTAAGTTAGTACTAGTATTTTAAATATTGAGACTTTATAACATATATTGATATAACAGGGTAATCCTATTTTATTATCTTTTGCAATATTTTCCTGGTTATTCTTTTAACCAGCAATATTATACCTTCCAGTATACTGTATCTCCTAGTAACTCTTTTCCAATTTCTATACATCCAATTTCTTTTTCTTATCTAACAGTATCAGTTAGCACTTACTCTATTGGTTGCAGTTTAATCTCATCCCTAATTTTAATGGACTACCAATGTCTTTACACTAAATAGGATGCTGACTCATGTATCATGAAATAAAGATTTTATCATATTACTTAAATACCTAGAAAGCAACTTTCCAACTAGTTTATGAGAGCCACAAAACTTTGATATAAGGGAAAATTAAAGACCCACATCTTTAATGGATATAGATACAAAAAAATCTTAAATAAAAACTTTCTTATTTTATAGGTAAATGTCTACTCATAAAATTCATCTGCTCCATAAAGAGTACTACTCATCTATTGGTAAGTTTGACTGCTCCTTGGTATTTTTTCTTCTCATAGTATCTTTGTATCAATGTAAACAGGTTTCTTATTACTCATCCTTGAATGCATCAGATTTTCCTGGCACAACTACTTGCAAGAGATTTTGGGGAAGAGAGGCCCAGGGTAGACTTCCAGGCTACATATCAGCAACCATTTTCTTTGTTAGACCAAATATAGACTACTTACTACAAATAAGATCTCTCTGTTTTGTTTCCATATTACCCTAGGTTTAAGAGGTTGTACTGTTGGAATATCAGTTCCTTTAGCTCTTTGTCTGTTGAATCAAAAGTCTTCCCGTTTTTTAGTGGCAGTTTTCTGACTCTTCTACTTGTGTAAAACAAAAATAGTATGTTTACAAAAGGCTACTGCTGCCAGCTCTGCTTCTCTCAGTTCCCACAACCACTTCTAAAAAGCACACAGACCTTTAAGTTGGGCCTCTCCACATAAGTTTCCGAGAACCTAATTGAGCAGGCTACTGGGCCTGCTCAATTCTCTCTTCCTCATCCTTGGCTTTTGTCCAACTTCAGTCCTGCTCATTCTAGGGCCTGGCTATCCAGTTTCCTACACTTTATCTTGGTTCCTGCCTTGGCTGCAGTTAACAAAGGGATATAATTCTTTCTAACAAGACCTCTCAGCTCTGAAGAACCACCTTCAAGTTGAAGAGATCTTTCCCCTCTAAGGCATGAGATTCTCACTATCTGATCCATGGGACTTTCAGAAACTTCCAGGACTTTCCCTTTTCAGTACCTTAACCTGGATCTCAACTGCTCTGGGCAGCACTTACATGTATTTGGTAGTCTGTGCCTTTAGTTTTACCAAAAATAGAGTTCATACAGTTGTTGTGCCCCTACTCTGCTTATCATTTTGTAGGATTTCCTTGATCTAGGTATATAACATTGAGAACCATATTATAATGTTCAAATCTTCTAAAACACTGTCCTCAAAGTTGCATGGGTATATGATTTTGTTAATGGGTACAAGGAATTTGTTAAAAGTGAATTCTAATTCAGTATCTCTGTGTGGGACCAAAGATTCCATATTTCCAACAAGTTTTCAAATATGGCTGATATTACTGCTCTATGGACCACACTTTTGGGAGAAAGGCAATTAATTAATTAATACAAAAGAATGGTTTTTTACTTTGCTTTAAAAAAAACTATTACATATAACTCCCTATGGATAAATTATTTAATCTCCACAATAACCCCCAATACAGATACTACTTCTATCACCATTATATAGTAAATGGAAGCATACATAATTTGCCCAAAATAACATTGTATGTTACATAGCCAGAGTCAAATTCAGATATGTGGCTATACATATGAAGTAATGCTGCATCCAAAGATTGGGCTAGTTTATCTACTTAAACTAATATAATCATATTATCTGGGAGGTTACTAAGAAAAACTTCAAATACTGATTTTTGTACCTTATTCAAATTTCACCACTCTTACCATAAATATTCACAGACTATAAAATGAAGATAAATATTTGATTTTCCTATAATGAAATAATTTTATTCTTAGATTAATTTCTTTTAGGGAAGTGTTCCTCTTATACCCTGGAAGAAGTTATTAGCATTGAAAGCAGTGGGTTTTTTTGTTTCAAAAACCATTCAATAAGGTACTTCACCTAGATCATTTCAATGAACTGACCATTTAAAACTATATGTGACAATGCATTTAAATGATTTATTCTTAGCTATGTAACATACGACAGATATTAAGAAGAGCCTATCATGAGAAGTTCTTTGCTTTGGTTTCAAGAAAGAAAATAAGGTAACAGATATATGTGGGACAACTGAATAATTGATATATCTTATCCCCAGAAAGCATAATATAAATTATAAATTATAAATACTGGCCATAAACCAATTCATCAAAGTAATCAACTTCTATTATGCTAACATGTTTGTAAGAAAAGCTTTATTTTCCATATATGAACTTAAGAGGTTATACTAATGGTAAGAAAGAGTTCAAAACTTAAGTTATATCTTAAGTATTAACAATGACTTAAAAAGAATGTATGAACACATTTGTTTTAATTATTTCCCTTTGATAGATAAGCAATTGGTTCTCCAATGCTACAAATTTCTCACTATATTTGATGAAGTTTGAGATGACACTTTGATGTCCCATTTATAGTTAAAAATTTCAATTACAGTGTAAGTTAATAAAAATTTTTAAGCTAAACACATACATAGAATTTTATTAATCATAGCATAACAGATAATTATAATTGTTAATATATATAACAGTAAGATTAATTCTGTTAAAAAGTTACCCTAGGTTTAAGAGGTTTTACTGTTGGAATATCAGTTCCTTCAGCTCTTTGCCTGCTTGAATCAAAAGTCTTCCGTTTTTTAGTGGCAGTTTTCTGACAAATGGGTCCATGCTTTTTCTGTTAAGATGAAAACATGCAACATATTATTTTCTTCCCTACAGAAGAGAACATTATAAAACATTAAGTTTAGATCGGTTTAAAAAATCTGAGCCTAATTAAAACAATGAAGATCATATAATGATAATGTATGCTTTGTCTTAACTATAATTTTTTAAAATGTATATGTAAAATGCATAAGTTTTCTTTCTTATAGCAAGAAATTATAGAAAAATACTTTTGTAAAATTTTATTAATACCTTTGTGGTAAGGAAAAGAATATAAAATCAAATCTACTTGAATGAAAAGTAAAGGTCTTCACACCTAAACATGGGTACTAGAAAAAGAAATGCAAATAGAGAAGAATGCATTGATTTTAGGATTAACAAAAGCTAACCTAATAGGAATAATGTAGATTAACAAAAGTAACATAATAGTTGTATGTTAATATAATGTAACACAAAAATAAAGACAAAATGGTCTTTTATCTCTTTCTTCCCTTCTAGAATTCACTCTTTCTACTTTTCTTCACTAAGATTTTTTTTTAAGATATCTAGTGTTCTATTCCTATAGGGTTTTAAAAAAATAGTTACCAAATCATTCATTTTAAATACCAGTAAACTTCTCTTAACTGGCTTTTAATTAATCAATTAGATAAAACAAATTCTTCCTTCACTATACAAAGCACATTGACTGATGACATTATAATACAGGCATTTTTTTCATTTGTGTTCTAAGAAACTCTGAAGAAGCTGGAACCATTAAATTTTATCTGGAAAAAAAAAGCAAATTTGAGAGCTGGCTTATTTGAAGTCAGGAGCCTGTTATGCTTTCAGTAGACAATTAGTAATCAACTGTTTCACAGATCTGTTTTCAATTTCAACAAATAAGCACTATAATTATAGCTATTAGAATAAGAGTTCTTAAATAATAATAAGAGGCTAGCGTGTGATTTTCTACTACACCCGTGTATGTCTAGTCTCACAAATTTAGTTGTTATTTGTCAAGTGCCTGTGGAGTTCATTTCCAAACCTGATTATACAAAGTGTAGTTATTATAACTATATCATTTAATTTAATATTAGATAAATAACTGAGGGAGAATTGGTATTTTTGTCTGTGAAAATTCAGCTGACTGCTTTGAAAATACTTTGAAAAACAGTGATTTGATGAGAAAAAAAAATCCCTACATGTGTGGGAAAGATATTTCTAAAGGATTACAAAAAAGTCAAATTATTTAGGTGTCTACTGTCAAATGAACATTTTTTATCATTAATTCCTCATTTTTCTTTAAAGAAATAAACTGGAAACAAGGATATGCACAGTACAACTGGCCAGAAGATCCCTATTTTTAACATATTATTTATCAAAATTTTAATATATAATTGTGTTCAAAGTTAAAATATTTAAAGTATATAAGGCATAATTTTTATTTTTTCTTACTTAGCTAATTTTTATTAAGATCAATTAGAAGTATTTCTATTTGTATGGATTACAAAACCATTTTTGCAACTAAAATTATTTAAAAAATAAAAAATGCATTTTAGGTACACTTGTATATTGTAAAAAAAAAAATATGTTTTTTTCTTTGCAATATTTCAAACACAGGAGAGTTAAGAGATTAGTATAATGAACTCCCATTTACTCTTCACTGCTTTGACAATTAATAGCATTTTAGCACTTTTGTTTTGTGTAGCCTTGCTTTTTTCCCCTGAAGTATTTTAAAGCAAATCCTAGACATTATATCATTTTGTATCTACAAATAGATTATTGTATACATTAAGAGATGTTTGGTAGCCAGGCATGGTAGAACATGCCTGGAATCCCAGTGACTCAGGAGGCTGAGGCAGGAGGATCATAAGTTCTAGGCCAACCTGGGCAACTTAGCAAGACCCTATCTCAACATAAAAATGAAAAAAAAAAAAAAGGGTGGGGGCTGATGGTACTAAAAAAAGGGGGGGGGGTTGTTCTGTTTGCTTCTGATAATATTAACACTTTAACAGAGAAGTCAGAAGACCAAACTCTGAAGAAAAGAGAGTATTCTGGAAGAATGACACAAATGGAACCCAAACATCTCAACAAGTTTTACAAAACTGCAAAACTCATTCTACATAAATTCTCCCCATGTGAGTTATTCTGAAGTACTGAACATTTACAGATCTATTAAACCCCAAAGGAAAAAGGTATAGATTCAGTCTACTCACTAATGCTACTGGAAAGAATGTTCTTCCACAAATTTTGCAAGGCAACAACTCTCCAACTTGGACAACACTTCCATTTTCTAAAACAGAAAGAATTTTATAAATAATTTCTGTGACTCAAATTGTGAAACTTCAAATTTCAATGTTTTCTCTTAGTTCATAGGTAATTGTTAGTTCTTTTGAAAAATGCTTTGTTTCATTTCAAAATAAGCAAAATTACCTGTTAAAATGGCATAAGGCTTAGAATTATCAGTGATCAAAAATTTCATGGTAAATGAGAATGATTAAGAACAACCAAACTGATATTAGAAATATCTAGTTTTCTTGTTATTATTTAACCAAATTAATTTATCATCTCTTACTTATGAGTTGATTTCATTGTAAATTAGTAACTTTAAAAATCAATACTGTTAATATTCAAGGCATGAAGAATTATCATTGTTTTTTCTGGTTAAGTGGCTTCCTGACATAATATAGAGAAACTAGAATAAAAATAATTTTCTTCTAATTACCACCAGAAAACAAAAAGTATAAGGCTCCAAAGGTAAGATCACTTAGTTAGAATGCAAACTGCATTTATGAGGCAAATTTTTCATTTTTTACACATATAATACTTATTAAGATTCACTAGACCAATAAATTGAGGTTTTCTGACCTCATAAGGACAATTCATTAAATTATAAAGCAGCTACAATTTTCATTCAATTAAAATTAAACTAAAAAAACTACATTATTTGCGATTCTACATAACTAAATCCACTTGTCATTTATTTTCTAGTCAATTTTCAAACCTAAATATATTTTCATACCACTAATTTTCTAAAAGTGATACTTTTACAAACCTGTAAAATTTTCCCAATATTTTCTGTTGAATATTTTATTGATTGTTAAAATTATTTTACCATATGAACAACAAAAACATTTTCTTCTAAAAGTAACATTAAAAAATCATGAAATGCCAATTTTGACTCCATTTAATATGTTCTACAGCATTTGGTTAGATTATATAAAACTAGAGAAATAATGCACTGGTGAGAAAGCACTCTAACATAGCAAAAGAAAAACTTCTTCGTTCTTTCTAGTATTCTTCTACCTTATTCTAGTAGTAAAAAAGTGACTGTTACCTCAGAGGGACTCCATGTCTGTATAGCTGCAGTTCAGCAGTGAACATTACAAAAGTAAACCTAAGATTCTCCTGATTTGTCCTTCTATAATACCAATGGCTAGGTTATTTAAGGAGAGCAATCTCATTTATCTGGATCCCTTAATTCCAATAGCAACCCAGAAGACAAACAGTTACTAGATAGATTATCCTTTAGGTTCATTAAAAATGATGGTCAAAGTGATATGGCATGTTCAACAGTTTATAAGCTTACTTACACTTATCATGTATTCCTTTATATACTAAGCAATGATTTAAAACTTTATCAATACACATATTAAAATATATATTTCATTTGCTTTTTTAGAAAGTATATTTTAATATCTACTTGTTGAATACATAACAAAGCAATATCTCATAAAAATTAACTATTGGGTCTATAGCTCAGTGATGGAGTACATACTTATCATACTTGAGGCCCTGGCAATTCAATTCCTAGTACACCTGCCCCCAAATTTAACTACTGAGAAAAATCAATTCAACACACTAAAATAATCTGAGTACCTAGTTGAATACCTACTGGTTACCAAATATACCAAGTAATAGTAGCACAGGGTGCAATGACAAAACCACTGTTCTCATAAAGCTAACACAATACTATTTATTTATTCAATATATCTAAAAACAAATCATCTTCCATTTTTCATACAAAACATAAAATAGTCATAATATTACCATACTATAAAATCCAATTATTGAAATTAATTTCCACATGTCATCAAGCACGTTTAAAATGTCATAAAGGAAAAGAAAACCACTGTCACTAAAAGGCATAAAAAATAATGCATTTAAGAGCAGTTATCTCAAGTAAAAGAAAAATCATTCTTCATTCAAAACAAGGATATACACAAATTTCTAATTTCCTGCTGTATTAGTTGATCAAAAAGCATACCCTTATGGTTCATGAAATATGGAATTTGCAAATGGGTTGATGTCAAGACCTACTGAAAACACAAAATGTATACTCAAAAGGTCATGATAAATAGGTTAGGCCATGGAGTCCAAAGCCACAGTTTGTTCTAATATTATTCATTAAAGGAATTGATAGTGGTAGAAAGACACTTTAATTTGTTTAATATTATCTAACTTGAAGACTCAATGCTGTCATTAAGAACTATGAATCCCTGGGTAAGATTTTAACTTCTCTTAAGGTTCAGATTCCTTTTTTACAAAACAAAGAAGTTAGCTTAAATGACATATGTGGCCCCCTTCTACCTGTAACATACTATAATTTAACAAAATTTTACACCTTCTGACTGTATTAGCAAGAAATTTACCTGGATGACAAGGCATCTTTTTTACTGGTGTTATATTTTGAAAAAGTTCCTCAAACATGAGAATGATTAAACCAATGCAAATGATGGAATAAATACTTTAGAAGTTTGTTGATGAATCATTTCTATTTTCTATATATAGAACTGAGAAACTGAAAGGATCTATAGCAAAGCACATGTTGTCTTTCTTCTTGTTGGAAAAGTCTTCACACTACATGAACTACAAGGAAATGTATGATTAATCACATGGGTAGATATGTTATTCAACTTTTGGTAGCTGAGACTAAAATACCTGACAAAAACAACTTAGAAGAAGAAAAGTTTATTTTGTCTCAAGGTTTCGGCCAGTTTCATTGCTCTTGCCCCTGGAAGAGGCAGATTATCATGACTGAAGGGCAAATCAGGAAAGTTACAAAGACCATGGAAGATGGGAAACAAAGAGAGCAAGGGAAAGGGACTGCAGGGAATATGAACCCATACAGGGTATATCTACCAAATGCAAACTTCCTCTAGCCACAACCATCTACTTACAGATACTACCCAGTTAGTCCATTTAAAACTATGGACTAATTAGGTAATGGCTCTCATAATCAAATCATTTCATGTTCAAACATTTCTGCATTAATACAGGAACTTTTGTGGGACACCTCATATCCACCCTGACCCCCAAAAGCTTATGTTCAGCTTGCAATGCAAACTACACTTATTCCATTTCCAAGAGTCCCCATAATCTTAAGAGTTCCATCGTTGCCCAAAAGTCCAAGTCAAGTCTCTTCTGAGTCTCAAGGCAAACTTTTAGCTGTGAAAAGTAGGATATATATATCCAATATATAATGGCATACATATTCCAAAAGAAGTGATGGGACCAAAACAAAATTAAAACGCATCCAGGCAAATATTAGGTCTTGTAATGCCATATCCCGCATCTGGGGCACGTATGACAAGACGTTCTCTCCAAAGGGCTTGGGAATTCCCATCTCTCTGGCCTTGCTAGTTGTAGTGCTCATGGCCTCTCTCTTAGCCTGGTTCTATGGCAACCAGCAGCTTTCCTCAGCAGACAGTCCACACTATGAGCATCTCTTAATCCAGGGGTGTACACTGTAGCTTTGGTTTCTTTCTCAAAGCTTCAGGTATCTCGCTACCAGGGGCTTCCCATAGGGACTCCAAGGCTGACACACTCTGCCTGGCCTACCTACAACTCTTAGCACATATAAAAAAGTAGAGATACTACCCTGCATTCTGTCAGATCATAATGGAATGAAATTATAAATCAATCATAAAATAAGAAAAAAAGCTACTCCAATACTTGGAGACTAAATAATATGCTACTGAATGAACAATGGATTGCAGAAGACATCAAGGAGGAGATTAAAAAGTTTTTAGAAGTGAATGAGAACACAGATAAAACATGGAAATCTCTGGGACACCATGAAAGCAGTTCTAAGAGGAAAGTTCATTGCATGGAGTTCATTCCTTCAAAGAAGAAAAAGTCAACAAATAAATGACTTAACGCTACATCTCAAAGCCCTAGAAAAAGAAGAACAAATCAACATCAAAAGCAGCAGAATACTGGAAATAATTAGAATCAGAGCTGTAATTGATGAAATTGAAACAACAGAAACAATCGAAAAAACTGACAGAACAAAAAGTTGGTTCTTTGGAAAAATAAATAAAATTGACAGACCCTTAGCCATGCTAATGAAGAGAAGGAGAGAGAAAACTCAAATCATTAACATATGTGATGAAAAAGGAAATATCACAACAGACACTACAGAAATACAGAAGATAATTAGAAATTATTTTGAAAACCTCTACTCCAATAAAATAGAAAATACCAAAGACATCGACAAATTTCTAGAGTCATATAATTTGCCCAAATTGATTCAGGATGATATACACAACTTAAACAGATCAATTTTAAGTGACAAAACAGCAGACGCCATCAAAAGTTTACCAACCAAGAAAAGCCCAGGTCCGAAAGCATACACAGCAGAGTTCTACAAGACCTTTAAGGAAGAACTAATACCAATACTCTTCAATTTATTTCAGGAAATAGAAAAAGAGGCAGCACTTCCAAACTCATTCTATGAGGCCAATATCACCCTGATTCCAAAACCAGGCAAAGACACATCAAAAAAAAGAAAACTTCAGACCAATATCTCCAATGAACATAGATGCAAAAATTTTCAGGAAAATTCTGGCAAATCGAATACAAAAACATATCAAAAAGATCCCATATCACGATCAAGTGGGATTCATCGCAGAGATACAAGGTTGGTTCAACATATGGAAATCAACAAATGTAATTCATCACATGAATAGACTTAAAGAATCATATGATCATCTCAATAGATGCAGAAAAAAGCATTTGACAAAATATAGCACCCCTTTATGCTCCAAACACTAGAAAAACTAGAGATAACAGGAACATATCTCAATCTCATAAAGGCTATCTATGCTAAGCCCCAGGCCAACATCATTGTAAATGGAGAAAAATTGAAGGCATTCCCGGTAAAAACTGGAAGGAGACAGGGATGCCCTCTTTCACTACTTCTATTTAACATAGTTCACAGGCTAGGACAAGTAGACAGACAAAAGAAATTAAAGGGATACACATAGGAAAAGAAGAACTCAAATTGGCACT